TCTCTCTCTCTCTCTCTCTCTCTCTCTCTCTCTCTCTCTCTCCCCAACGGGCAGCAGCGGTGGGCGCCACGTCGAAACGGCGGCTTTGAAATTGCTCGGGCCTGTGCGAAACCCGCCACCTCCAAAACCTCCAGTGTCTTGTGTCTGAACCTCTAGGCTATGTCCGGTGTGGTGAGAGGACACTTAAAAGTCACTCCGTTATTCTTCGAGGGGCGGCTAGGACCCGACAAACGTCCTGGGCCGCCCCATTTATTTTTTTGATTTTTGCCCCAGGGGCCTCCATCCGGACATGGGGACCAGACACCGGACATCGGACACCGGACACCGGACTCCGGACTGTCTGGAACCCGGTCCGGACGTCCGGGCGGTTACCATGAATTGCACTATGGGCCAAGATACAGTTTTGAATTGCAGTTTGGGCATTGTATACAACCCAGCCTTCTGGCCAGGTACAGTGCCTGAAGTGGAATTGCAAACTGTACCTTGCCCCATAGTGCAATTACAACTCGTATTAGTGACTCTACTGAAGTTACCCCAAAAATTTAAATTACCAGTCCATGTGTAGGCGGCACTCAAGATTCTGTTTCTGCTCTACTGGTACCGCGCCAAAATCTACTGGAGGTGTGCGGTGGGAGAGGGCCAACAGCAGCCTCAATTTTCCAAGCGCCTGCACTGTAGATCTCAGTCTCGGCAAAGTGCACTTTTTGCTTTGTCAATTTAGCTTCGGATGAACTGGTGGTTTAACCCAGGTTAACGTCAGCAGATGGGCGCACCCTATTTTTCATTTTATATATGAAGAATTTTCAATTTGGACCATTTCTCGATTTACGGGTTTCATTCTTGTGCAGGGGCCATGCTAATCTTTTTTGTATCGTTGCAATTTTGACAGATGTCCCCAAGGACAGATAGGTGCACACTTAGTTTGCCGGCTGGTTCAGGTTAACCCAGGTTAACGTAAGCAGATGGGCACACAGTTAGTGTGTCAGCTGATTCCTGTTAACCCAGGTTAACGTCACCATATGGGCACTGGCTTAGTTTGTCAGCTGATTTAGGTTAACCCAGGTTAACGCCAGCAGATGAGCACACTCTTCTTAGTTTGTCAGCTGATTCAGGTTAACCCAGGTTAACGTCACCAGATGAGCACACTCTTCTTAGTGTAACCCAGGTTAACGTCAGCAGCTGAACACACTCTTCTTTAAATGAGCTTAACAGCAGAGGATGGGCACACAGTGTTTTACGTTTGTGTGTAGACAAATTCATAGAGTACAGTCATTAGGTGCCCATGCACGGAGGGGGAGGAGGGGAGAAGATGGAGGAAGAGAGGAACAGGAAGAAAGAGGAGGAAGAAGGAAGAACTTGAAAGAGTTCACTTCTAAACCTGTCATGTGTTGGCATATGCTCTCTCTCTCTCTCACTCCCTTATGCACGGAGTTGGAGGAGTTGAGAAGATGGACAAAGAGAGGAACAGGAAGAAAGAGGAGGTAGAAGTAAGAACTTGAGAGGTACAGGAAGAAAGAGGAGGAAGAAGGAAGAACTTGAAAGAGTTCACTTCTAAACCTGTCATCTGTTAGCATATGTTCTCTCTCTCTCTCTCTCTCTCTCTCTCTCTCTCTCTCTCTCTTATGCACGGAGGAGGAGGAGGGGAGAAGATGGAGTAGGAGTGGAACAGGAAGAAAGAGGAGGTAAAAGGAAGAACTTGAGAGGAACAGGAAGAAAGAGGAGGAAGAAGGAAGAACTTGAAAGAGTTTTCTAAACCTGTCATCTGTTAGCATATGCTCTCTCTCTCTCTCTCTCTCTCTCTCTCTCTCTCTCTCTCTCTCTCTCTCTCTCTCTCTCTCTCTCTCTCTCTCT